ACCAAAAATGATTGAGGTCATGTACATATATTGCGCGATAAGTCGATATATTGATTATTGCGACAGGCCTACTGACAATAATCGCTTATTTAGAACGCCCTGGAACGTCATCAAAGAAAGGCAACGACGGGGTCACTCAGATTATTATATAACATAAATAAATATTGTAATTTATTTTACTTTCAAAATTAAATACATACACAATTATGTATCTAATAAATATAGTCAAAATTTATATGTTTAGACTGTTAACAGATTGTAGTGGTTTCATCTCATGCACTTTCTAAATAAATCATAAATACTGTAATTTGAATAATAATAACAACATTTATTGCAACCCCTCCATTGCAGAGCCTTTTAAAAACTCTTTCAACGGCTCTGCTTTATCATTAGTTCTGACTGGTGACGCAGTTTTCCCTCTCCACTTCCTGTGAAGTGCTGTTTATTGCAACCCCTCCATTGCAGAGCCTTTAAAAAAAACTCTTCTAACGGCTCTGCTCCATCGTTAGTCTGACTGGTGACACGGTGCGCAATGACAGCTGGGTGATTTTCCCTCTCCACTTCCTGTGAAGTGATGTATCGATGTTCCCTTATTCCCTATGCCGTTTGCAGTGCCCTTCGAACTGAACATGTTCACTCTCTTCGGAATGGAATCTCACTTAAGATGGCGGAATACCCTGTGAAGTCCACTTCGCAGTCCACTTATGGTCGAATGGATCGCACCTCATTTCTCGATTGACGATGCATCAATTTATTTCCCCAGCCCTAATTAAAATAAATGTCATGATTCCCACTATGACCACTAGATGGAAGCAGAGGATCATTTATTGTCTCATTTACCATTCCCACTCTGTAATATAGTTATTTCACATGTTTTGCTAATGGATTTATATCTAGACATTATAAAATCACTATTATAGCATTTAAAAATATCTTTTTTTGTCAAAGTTCAGCATTGTTTTGTATTGAAGTATAAAGTAGCAAGAGTTCCCTTCCGAGGGAACTTCGAACTGTGTCCTCTAGAGGTCTCTATGGGGAACACCTTCGGCGTGACCGGTGTCTGAAGCATACATCTAAACATGACAATAACATTGGCCGGCGACAGCCTATGACGCCACTACCGGCACGACCACAGTATAAAAGGGCACCGGAAGAACACGTCATCCTCTTCTTGTCTTCACTGACCGTTTGTTTATGTTAGCAATAAGCTAAGCACGACTAGGAGTGCATGTTCTCTCGCCAGAGGCTTTGCTCTGATACCCGCAGTTTCACACGGCTCGCGTGTTGTGTCCGTTCGCAGTGCCCTTCGAACTGAACATGTTCGCTCCCTTCGTATTGGAATATCACTTAAGATGGCGGAATACCCTGTGAAGTCCACTTCGCAGTCCACTTATGGTCGAATGGAACACACCTACAGTTGCGTTGCTGTCTATGCAGGGTGAGAGCTCTCATTTCATCAAAAATATCTTAATTTGTGTTCCGAAGATGAACGAAGGTCTTACGGGTTTGAAACGACATGAGGGTGAGTAAGTAATGAGAGAATTTTCCATTTTTGGGTGAACTATCCCTTTAAGCTGTTTCAAGTTGACGTCAACATGAAACATTAGCATAACATAACGCGTAGACCCGGGAAAACTTGAACATCCCCTCCC